TCACCTGAGACTGGGGTGCATCAGACACGTCACTGTATCCAGAATGGGCTTTCTCTGCTGGGGCAGTTCTCTACCGGTCATCCAGCAGCTCAGAGCCGGGCTGGGGTGGGCTGCTGCAGGAGAGGCCGCAGGTAGACTGAGCGGCGGTCAGAGCCCTGGAGCCTGGTCCCCACCAAGCGGCCTGTCCCGGGACCCCTGTGGGACCCCTGCCTGTGGCTGCTGCACTGACCTCCCCGAGGGGGCTCTCAGAGTCGCAAAAGAATTAAGGGAGGTGAGGCCCCTCACAACCGTCCTTGAGCCCTAGGTTGACAGTCGGACGACTGAAGAGCTCCGGTTACAGGGTGTGGCCGGGGGGCGTGTACTCAGCCCGGTGCAGATAACTAGCCCCAAGCTCCAGGCCTCCAGCTATCTCTTTTCTGAGCCCACCAGGCATGGCCACGTGCACCACGTTGGTAATGACCCCTGACCTCGAACCAGCAGGTCCCTCACAGTCCTCCAAACGGGACCATGCACCGTGGGGCAGGACTGGCTGCGGGGCCCAGCGCGAATGAAGTTCAGACCCGTGTTCATAAAGTGTTAATAGTTTCCAAACAGTGTGGGCCTGTTATTGAGGGCTTTGAAGCCTCTTGCAGATTAAATGAGCTGATGTTGGTGTTATAGCAGTATCTTGTCACTGTTAAAGAAGAAAGCATTCACGACAGTTGTAAAGATGGTAAGGGACTTTATTCACGGGCGGCCACTGCAATGGGGTTTGCAGTGGGGGAGGGAAGCGGGGCTCAACTCTGAAAACAACCCAGAGAAATGGGGATTTATGGCCAAGGAGCGGGGCAGGGGGTCGGTGGATGGGAAATTACTAGAGGAAACACAGAGGCTGGGGGGGTCAGGCTGAGCCCCTTGGCGGGACTCTTGCTGGGGGCAGGCCAGGAGGTCAGCTATGGTGGTGAGGGGGGCGGATGAGAAGTGGATTAGATATCGAGAGCAATCAGGTTCTAAGGCAGGGGGATTTTGCTAAACTGACACAGGATTCTTGCTAAAACTGGGCTAAGTGGGCCAAGGTCAGGCGCCCTCAGAGGAGCCTGAGTAGATGTGGTCAAGGAGAAAGTCTGTGTCCCCCTCAAAACTCGTATGTTGAAGCCCTAGCCCCCAGCACTGCAGAATGAGACAGTCTTACAGAGGTAAAATGGGGTCGTTAGGGTGGGCACTGGTGTCCTTCTGAGAAGAGGAGATCACACATGGAGGACACGTGAGGACACAGAGAGAAGACGGCCAAGGAGAGAGGCCTCAGGAGGAACCAGCCCTGCCACACCTTGACCACAGACTTCCAGCCTCAGGCCGTGAGAATGAATGTCCATTGTTTGAGCTGCCCGGTCTGTGGCACTTTGTCCCACCGGCCACCTAGGAAGCGGATCCGGTGGGGACCACGTGTTTTGTAGACCGGAACCACTGGTGTGTAACCGTTGGCTCGTTCCCACGTGTACCTGCTCACCTGCTTGGCAGACAGATGCTTCAGGGTGTGATGCAGGCAGATGTGTTCCCGTGCTGGATGAGCAAGACAAACGTCAACCCCACAGACAGACAGATGCGAACCAGCAAACATGTGGCCGCTGACGGACGGTCAGCTCCAAGGAGCAAAACCAGGCAGTGAGAGCTGCAGAGGGGCAGGTCCCACTTGGAAGGCTGTCACTCTTATCATTTTTAGTTACTGTTTAAAACGCCAGTGGACACAATGACAGCACGGACGTGCGCTGTGGCCCGTGATGAGAGACTGGAGGTGCAGGCACGAGCCCCTCCCGGCCCCTCCCCGGCCTGTGATCCGGGCCTGCTCCTCCCTCCACGCCTGCCACACACACTCTTGTCGTTTCCCATGGGATGGAGCCGCCGCCCGGCAGAGGAGCCACAAAGCCACGCGCATGGTGTGGCTGGAAGAAAGGGAGGCAGGGCCTCAGGGGCTGGAGTCCCAAAGAGGAGAAGCCTGAATTTGAGGAAAGTGACACGGGGTACAGCAGAGGCCACTGGGCCCACCAGTGGGAGCACTGAGCGCCCTGGAGAGGCCCCCCGTGGGCCTGTCTGCAGAGGGATTCTGATGAAGCCGGGGTCTCCAGTGCCCCAGGACCCCCAAGGTGAGACCCAGTGGTGCCAGGGCTGCACTGGGCTGAGGGGAGGGCCCACATCTGTGCACCCTCGCAGAGGATTTCAAGGAGAGGCTGCATTCCTGGGGGGGCAGGGTGTAGACACAGACGGGCAGGGTGTCCGTGGCATCTGGGATCACCCTGGTCAGCTCCCCAACATAACCTCCCAACTGCCACGGTCCCCACCATGTCACCCCCACCAGCTTCTGCAAACTTCATCAGCCCTACTTTATCCTATCAATGGCGGGGGGGGGGGTGCGGCGGGCAGGGACAGCAGCTGGGCATCAGGGCCCAGCAGTGCTGGGATCCGAGGGGGAAGGGATGGCTCTCAGGGGGAAGGTCCCCCTGAATCCCCCCACCCCTGCTCTAGGTGGGGGAGCTCGTGCCTGCTTGTGGGCACTCTCTCCCCATCCTCATCTCTGCTCCTTCCTTCTCTGTCTTTCCCTGTCCAGAAATGTGACCCAGCCTCCAAGCTGGGGGGCTCCAAGTGTGTCCAGCTGCCGCACTCCCCCCTGGCATGGCTGTTCCACTGCTATCTGCCCCACCGCTGCCTCCTGCCCCGGCCCGGCCTGGAACTGCTGCTTGCTCGCTCATGTAAGACCAGTGTCCACACTAGCGTCCACACTGGTGGGCATCCGTTTGTTTAAACAACTCAACCAAGAGGTGTGGGGTACTTACCCCCTACTGGTGGGCATTGGTCACCCTCTCCCCAGTGCTGTCCTAGGTGAGCCTGCCCCTCTCCCATCCCATCCCTGCAGGGGCTGCCTAACGTGTGCCCAGCAAAGAGGCCCAGAGGGTCTCCAGAGGGGCTGAATGAGCCAGCTGGACCCCGAGAGGCTGAGGGCTGTGAGTTCTGAACTGGGACCCCTATTCTTGCTGTTGCTCCCTGCCTGGCCCTCCCTGGGTGGGGACGCAAGCCTGTCCCAAGTCAGCACACATGTCCCAGCTCTGTCCACAACTCCCTCCCCAGGTCTCTGAGCCCCCATCTGGGAGTTCGACCTTGGGGTCCCTGTGGGTGGGAGAGTTAGGACAGCCCTGCCATCTCCTACCACCAACACTGACCCAGCCGTGCCAGGACCTGGGGATGCGGCCGAGAACCAGACAGGGTCCCAGGTCCCCCAGCTGCCATTCTCGGGGGAGACAGACACCACTGGGAAAGAACTCAGTTCTCATGTGGCGGTCTCTCTGACTGTGACAGGCACCATGAATGACATAAGGCACAGCGCTGCCCACCGGGGCCCACCGTGCCCAACCACACAACCTCGTGTCCATCCCACAGACACTCCACGTGAGCTCCCGTCTCCTCCTCCATGGGGTCTCCGGCCCCTCCCCCAGCACACTGCCACCCCCTGACCCCGTCCTGCTTCTTGCTTCTCGGCAGTTACCCTAAGGTCACCTTCCTCTTGTATGTGATCAGTCCCTCCCACCGGACTATCCCTCAGGACCCCTAATGCTTGGAAAGATGCTCAGCATACAGAAGATCCATGAGGGAGATCAAGATTTGGCCACCCTGAAATATATCTCTTTACCTCAATTGTTTTCTCTGACGGACATTTGACTTCCCCCACTAACTGCCTAAAGAATTTGACATAGAAGATCTGTTCCAGGAAGGAGTTCCTATCTGATGGCTGTAATATAATGTAAAACAGATGTTACAATAGGAAAGGCACCAACAAGCCCATCTTATCAAAAATTCTGTCTCTCTGGCCACATTCTCTAGATGGCCCTGCAAGGAGTTGCCAGACAAACATTTACATTTATAAGGGAAATCTCCATTTGTAAAGGTATCTCCCTCTCTGTATTGGGAAGAGGGGGGATGACCTCATTTCTAGAAACTTATCAATGTGGAAGGTGAGGCCTTAAATCTGCAAAATAACCTTACTCTTGTTTACTGTGATTTAGTGGTAATCTCCTGTAACTGACTCCCCCCACCCCCAACATCCTCCTTTGTCTTTAGCTGAAGATGGTATTTAAGACGAGAATCTCTGGATTGTGTTGAGAAACTCAGTGTCCCTGGTTTCTCCCATGTATACATGTTATTAAACTTGGTATTATTTTCTCCTGCTAACCTGTCTTGTTAATTATTTGGCCAGCCATAAGAACCTTAAGGGATAGGGCAGAGGGGGATTCTCCCTTTTCCCCTACATCCACAACAAAGGTTTCTTGAATAAACGAATGACTGAATGAATGAATGAGGAGGTGGCACCAGAGCTGAGATCTCACCGGAGAGAACAGATGTGCGAAGCACCAAGGGAAGGAAATTCTAAGCAGAGAGAGCAGCCAGTGTAAAGGCCCTGGGGTGGAGATATCCTTGGTCCTTTGAGGGACAGAGGAGGTTAGGAGCACAGAAGGGACACAGGCAGAGGTGGGCAGGACCAGACCACAGGAGGCCGTGGGGCCAGGTGAGGGCTTGGTTTTTACTCCAAGGCAGCGGGAAGCCACTGGAATGGAGCCCGCTATTCACTTGTCAGTGTGATTCCAGCTCACAGGCCTTTTTCTTCCCACTATGGCAAGTTCCCTTCCAGCCAGCCCAGCCTACACTTTAGGCACCAGAAACACAGGGGGACAGACCCCTCAAAACAAAAACACCCCACGGGAGAGCATGTCAAAACCACACAGAGTGATTCTAATTTCAGCGACATGATGGCTTTATGTCTCCATAAAGACAGGGCTGTGTTGACTAGCCGAGCATTGACAACACGTGGAACTTTTCAATTCTTCTCCTTCCTAACCCAGACGGCTTCCAGGGGTGCGGGAGCGTGCCCCTAGGTGGAGTCACCGTGAGCATGAGTGGGCATTCACTGGTGTCCACTGACTCAGGGACAGGAGGGAGGGTCCAGTTTCAGCTCAGGCTGCGTCCACAGGCGCCTCCCCTCCCCCCAACACCGCCCTGCCGGCCTGCGCCATCCTGGATCAGGAGGGGAAGGCGGGTGCTTCGGCCAGCGGGCGGGACATGCTCTGGATGGCCCATTGCAGGATGCCGTCGAAGCTGTGCTATAAGACAGAGTAGAGGGCAGGGGCTCAGGGACCTGGCCAGGACCTCCAGAGGACAGGCGTGCTTACCCCACCACATCTGGCCCACCCTGGCCTCCAGGGTCACCTGGAATCATAAACATTGTACACAAAGACGCCATGCAACCTGACCCTCCTATGCAAAGGTGGGGAAACTGAGGTTCAAGGCCTCACGGGACATGTCAGTCAAGGGGACTCCTCATCCAGTGCTCCTTCTCAGCATCCCATAAGCCCAGGGCACAGCCACCACGGCTGTTCTGCCTCCTGAGGTGGCTCCTTCCCAGGTGGTGAGACAGGGCCAACTCCTTCCCTCACTCTGCTTAGGGGCCTGATGCTCCAACAGGATTGGCGGAGTCACAGGAAGGCCCAATATTCCAACGGAATAGGGGTGACCTGCACCCAAAGGGCTTGTGAATCTGCCCCCCATTTCTCCAACTGTATCCAGTGACCTACCCCCTCCCAGAGCTCCAACACCTCAGGTCACCTCTCACCCTCTGGGGGTCCTGGGGTCTCTACAGACACCTGCACAGTCTGGGGCCCACCCATGCATGGTCCACCACACAGGGCCGGGCCCCCAAGGTGCCACACTGGACACCCGAGGAGGACCCCTCCTAGGGGTCTAGAAATCGCTGGAGGAGTCTGACCTCCTGTCACAAGAAGATGGGACCCCTAAGAGCCACATTTTCTCCCCAGCAATTCCAGCTGTTCGTCTTAGGGCAGACAGGCCTGGGTTGAGAGCGGACAGTGAGAGATGTGCTAGGGGCAGAGGCTCCGGGCACCCACTCCACCCCTGGGGAGAGTCATGGCCTCTGAGTCTGCTTCAGTGGCCCTGGTGCTGCAGTGGCCAGCCCCCCATGTCCAGGCCCCTGGGACCTCTGGGCTGGCTAGAAGGAGCAGGGGCTCAGGGCGCCCCCTTTTGGCTTGCTTGTGCTCTCAGGACTCCTGTGTGTGGGTGGAGGGGCCAGCACCATCCTGGAGCACGTGGGCCTGCGGTGCTCGGTGTGTCCAGAGTGGGGGTCTCCTAGTTCTCTCCTGGCAGGGGTGCTGGCTGTTGCGGGGGTAAGGGGGCACCGGGGTGAGGAGGAGGAGGAGGAGCAGGTGTTGCCCAGCCAGGTGACATGTTACCTCGCTCAGGAGGGACTCCAGGTCATCCCGGTGCAGGACGGGCTCGTGACCAGCAGAATTGTCCCCTGCCTGGAACCCAGGAAAGGGAAGAGGTCAACCCAACTTCCGCACCCCTGCTGGGAACATCTCCATGGAAGCAGGACTCCCTGCAGAGGCAACGGGGCTTGGGGGTGGGTGGCCCGTGCCAGGGCAGTGGGGGTGCTGTGGGTGCTTCTCCAGGCTGGGCCCTGGGAACTGAATTCTAACACCCAGCTCCCAGGCACAGGGCAGGGTGGGTGTGAGCGAGCTTGGGGCTGCCTGCCCAGGGCCCTGCCAACTCCGGAAGCTGGCTACCCAAGGTCCCCCAGGCCAGCCTGGCTCCACACACTGTGGGCGGCCCTCTGGGGAAAGTGAGGTGACTTAGAGAACCAGCTAGAAGGGACCCCGCCCCAGAGAGGAAAGTGTCTGGCTCAATGCCAGCCATTCAACCATCCAACAAGCATCACCAGGGCCAACCGCGCCCCTGGGCGAAGGGCCAGAGCAGGGAATGAGGCCTCCAGGCTCACCGGCTGGGAGGGAGAAAAGGCCATACTAAGTGGTACCATATGAAATTGCCAGGTTTGTACCTCAAAACAGGCAGCTGTCAGCACTTCCACCTGGGTGGGTCTGATAAACACAGGCCCTGCAAGGTGCTCCCAGCCCCGGGTGCCTGAAGGAGGAGCACAGCTCCTGGGGTGTGTGGGGCACTCAGGAAAGGGCCTGGGGGCCACACCCACATTTACTGTCTACCCCTGGGGAAGGGGGCCGGGCAGGGGCAAAAGGGGCTGGAACTTTTTACTCTAAAATGACATTACATTTTACATCACAATGAAAAGAAAGAGGCCTTTGCTGTTAAGAGAAAAGAACCCAGACATCAATGAAGGGAGCATCTTCTGGAGGGAGGGAACCTCCCCTGGGACCCGGCCCCCCAAGGCTGCCTGGAGTTAGGGCACGTGAGAGGGCTTGGGCACACACAGTGCAGATGGGTGGGGACGATGAGAGAGGCTTCCGGAAGGAACAGGATGCAGACAGGTGTGAGCCATGCCAGGTGGTCCACATGAACCCTCTCGTGGGCGGGGCCTCGGTGCCTGGTGCCATGTCACACTGTGGACTTATCACCACCCTCGGGGACCCCAAAGATTCTTGGGGGACAGGGACGTGGTCAGGAAGGCCCCTGCTGTGGGCAGTCAGGGCAAGATGCGCCACCCTCTAGAGGCTCCTGAATGGGGGCACACAGGACACGGGACCCCCCAGGTTCTGAGGGAGCCCCAGGATGACTGTGGCTCTGCAGCTGGAGCCTTGGCCCCGTTTCCTCCACTGACAAATGAGGACAGACGGAGAGACTTCTCCCCCGGGGCTGTGGGCGGCAGGATGGGGATGGACAGGCTCCCCGCCCCACGACTGTTGGAGGATTGCGGGCAAGATTACACGGGGGTCACATTCGGTATCCAGTGTGCTTGCTCATCCCGGGTAGGGAGCCTCCTGCCCCCTCTCCCCCCACCCCCAGCCCTACCCCAGAGATGGGTGCTCCACGGGCTGGGGGAGGGGGCTTAGGGGAGCGCTGGGCCTAGGTTAATTGTAAGACAAACGTGCATCCAAACGGTGGCTTCATAGCCGCTATTGCTTAAGTGAGTTTCCTCTTGAAACAGATGCAAGTTATCAAAAAGCAGTCGATCGAAACAAAGATACTGTATTTAAATCACCAACACATGATCAGGGGTCTGGCGCAAACCCGCGAAGCTGGCGCCCCAAGTCTCCCCTGGAGATGTAGTCCCCACCCACACCCCCGCGGGGCCCCCCTCACCTGCGCACCGGGCGCGGCGGCCGCAGAGACCTTAGCGGGCCCGGGAGCAGGCCGGGCGGGGCTCGGGGCGGGCGCCCCCTCCCCCGAGGCCGGGGCGGGGTCTCCGGAGCAGGATCTGCAGCGCAAGACGGCCCTGCGCAGACGGAGGAGAGGCTGTGGGGCTGTCCGGGCTGGGCAGGGGACTCCCCTCCACCCCCGCCCTCCGCGCGGGCCTCGCACTCACCCGGGCCGGGGGGCGCCCGCGGCGAAGTGGCAGCGCCAGTGGAAGGCGGCGGCGCAGTGCGCGCACCGCAGCACGTCCGCGCCGTCCCCGCACACGCCACACCGCGCGCCGGGCGCCGGGCCCTGCGGGACGGACAGCGCAGTGACCTGGGGCCTTCTGCCCTCTGCAGCCCCCGGATTCCCCTGGGTTGGACAGCGGGGAGGGGCGCGGGTGGGAAGCTGTAAGGTGCCTCGTCGCAGCCGCAGGGCACTGGGTCCCGCGGTTTTGGAATCCCGGCCCCGAGGTCAAGAGCGCCCCAGCACCTCTGGGCTGCAGCCCGCAGAAATCAGGTGCCCCGACCTCGCTCCCCCTTGGTGGACCCACACCCCCTTCAGGGCTAGTTAAGGGGTCCCCGGAACGGCGCTGCGCCAGAAGAGGAGGGAGGGGTTGGGGGACCTGGGGACTTCCCATATGCAGGGCCATTCCAGCCCTCTTCATTGTCCTGCCTCTGAGGGGTGGGGTGGGTGGGGGTTTCAGGAGCAATGAGAGAAGCCTGCTGGAATTCCTCCAGGACTCCCTCCCGGCCCCCTCGCCTCCCCGCCCCCTGTTCTGGGAGGTCTGTCTCCTCACTGCACCCCAGCGGCCCGGTGTCTTCCTCCAGCCTCCTCCCACCTGCCCTCCCCATGGCCAGTCCGGTGCTCCTGGCAGAGGCCTCCCCCAGCCCTGACCCCTAACCCCCAGGTAACCCCTACCCCTTTCCCCCCCTAGTGGCTCACTGTCCTGTTTCAGATTCCTCTGGCTGCCCTTAGGCCCTGAGCTCCCTGAAGGCTGCCACCGGACCCCAGCACCCCTCACCTGCTGCCCCTCGGGGCCCACACACAGTAGGGGGTGCAGGGCCGAAGGGTCCAGCACCGGCAGGGGTGCTGCGGAAGGTGGGGCCAGCAGGTGCTTGTAGGTGACGGCAGCATCCATCCCAGCCGGGAGCTCCCTGGGCGGTCCCCTGGCCTCCTCTCCTGCCGACCTCAGTCCCAGGAGGACCTAGACCAGAGGGTCAGTGCTTGGAGGGGCCGTAGGGCACTTGTCCAGCACCACCCAGGGACTTAGTGACCGCTGGGACCCTGGGAACCCCAAACTGCGGTCAGAAAGGCCTGGGGGCAGGTCCCAGCCCCGTGGCCCTCACGGGCTGTCAGAGTAAACACTCGGTATATACCGGGCCGGTGTCATATCCCTGACGTCTTTGCTGCAACAGAATGCTTACAACATTTTGGGAGAATATTATCAGTGGTCCAAGTCATCCCCTGTGTGGGCAAGAGGGCCGAGGCCCCCATCAGAGCACTGAGAAGTGGGGCCATTGCAACGGCGGCTTCCCAGCGGCCGGCGCCCTGTGGGCCCCAGAGTAGAAAGCTGAATTAATGTGGCCAGGCTGGGGTGAGGTGGGGGGCGCCTGGTCCTAGGGCTGGGGCAGGCCTGACCCACAGGAGTGGCCAGGATGCAGGACCCCAGGCGGACTGAGGGCCTGGGAGTGGCAGGTGCGTACCGGGGCCTCCACAGGCGGCTCCTGGGTCCGGGGCTCCTCCACCCGGGGCAGCTCCTGCTGGGCTCTTCCCTGGAGGCAGCTGGTGCACCTCCAGGTCCCACTGCTCGTGTTGTCACCGGCCAGAGGCATGCAGGGCAAGGCAGAGAGGGCAGTAGACTCCCAAACCCGCAATGCAGGGAGGCCGGAGGGCTCCTCCAGGCCACCCTCTCCTTTCACAGATGGGGAAACCGAGGCCCGGGCAGGGAAGGGGGCAGAGCCACATGGAAGGGCCTGCCCGGCAAGTTAGCAGGAGACCAGGATGCCCGCTTTTCACCCCTAATGGGGTGGCCCTTGCCAGCCTGCTGTGTCCCCTCTGAGTGCTGCTCTGACGGGCCCCAAGAATTCCCGACACCCACTCCCCGACAGCGGCCTATGCCTGGCTCTCACAGGCCTTGCCCTGCAGGTGGGGCCTTGGGTTGGGGTGTCTATATCCCTGGGACCACCCACGTTTCCACAAGGAGGATGGTGCCCAGCAGAAGGGGAGACGGTCAGGGCAGGAAGGCAGAGAATGGAAGAATGACAGACGGTCAGAGTTGGCCAGAGCTGAACCATGACCCCGGCAGAACCCTCTCATTTTAGTGACGAAGCATCTGAGGCTCAGAGATGTGACCTGATCAAGGCCACACAGCAAGCCAGGCCAGGGACAAGGCTAGAACTCCAGCCAGGCTCTGCCCCCTAGACAGCCGTGACGTGTGGAAGCTGGTGGTGGAGGGCAGGGCTCTGTGGGCAGGGGGAGGGGGCACTAGGAGGCAGACTAGGAGGCCTCACGCCCCACGGAGGACAGGCACCCACCAGCCCTTGGGGGTGCAGCTCTGTGGCCTCTGTGCTCCCCAACACCGACGCGGAGTCGGAATTTGCTTGGGGGTGGGGGGTCAGCTGCTCCTCGAGTTTGGGCTGGCGAGTGTGGGGTGAGTGCGACACGATGGTCTTTCTCTGCCTTCAGCCTCCATTCTGCTTTGCTGCCCTCAGGAGCCCTGCTGGCCAGGCTGCAAGGACAGTGCAGCCACGCGGGGAGGTGGGGTGGGAGGACCCCAGGCCCCAGCCCCACTGCCCAGTGACCTGAACCAAGGCCCCCTCCCAGGTGGGCCTCACTTCCCCATTTGTGGAATGGAGAGACTTCTGGGTGGCTCCCTCTCAGGATCCGTGGGGGGGGGGGGGGGGCGGCCTGGGTGCTGTGGTGGTGATGTGTGCCAGGCTCACCTGGGGATCTCCCGGAGTGGTGGGGACAGGCAGGCCAGGTGGAAGGCCCGGGGACAGCCATCACAGCAAATGAGCTCACCGCCGTCCCGGCACACTGCACACTCATCCTCGTTCTTCTGACGCGGGTGAGACACGCGTGCTCTGGGAGAGCCCGGGATGGGGCGGCACCTCCCTGAGAGCCCCCAGAATGGCTCCACCAGTCGGCAGTGTCCCCTGGGGGCACCCAAGCCCCCGGCCTGAAATTCCACCCTGACTGCCTGCTCCCCAGGTCCCCAAGGCTCCTTCCATCTCTGAGACTATTCCTGCACTCTCGGGTCCATCCCTTTTGGGAAGAACGGGCCTTCAGAAAGCCTGGTTTCTCGTGGGTGCCTGTAACTGCATGCCCACCCCCACACAGCCCCCTCCTCATGGGGCACCGGAGGGACAGGCCCAGCGGTGTTCCATCAGCTCCGGGCACCCCCTGTCCCCTCTGCCTCAGGCCTCCACCCTGCTTACGCCTGTCTGGATGGTGCCCACTGTGGCCCCCTAGACGCCACCTCCTCCAGAAGTCCCCAGACCGCCGAGCACACTCATTGTAACATTCCCCTTGGACCTCGCCAGCCAGGGAACTCGCGGGGCAGGCGTGGGTCCTGCTCGTGGGTGCCCGGGGCCCAGCACAGCGCCTGGCACGGAGGGGTTAGGATCTCGGCCAGTTCTGGTTCCTTAAGAAACGATACTGGGAACCCAAGGACGGGCTTGACGCCGGGGTTCTTGGCTCCCAGCAGAGGCCAGCACCCCACCCACGGGCCCAACACCATGGTTTAGAAAGCCTGGGAGGGCCTCGCTTTCCCTGACTTATTTCAATTTTTACAATTGTGTATTAACAGAAAAAAATACTATTAATAGAAAGAGCTCCACCCTATGAACAGGAGCTCGGGCCTCTGTCCTTGTCACCCAATCAAGTGCCCTGTTCAAGCAGCAACGCAGCGGAAGGACCCACCAGAGGATGGTGGGGATGGGTGGCTCCTCCCTCAGTCTAGGCGTTACCTGGTGGAGCTGGGGCTCGCTGGGGAGGGCAGGAGGGGCCAGGACCCTGCCCTGCTGGCCTGCCCTCGGATCGCCTCCACCCTGCAAGGGGGAGAGGGAGGGTCACCCACAGGGGAGGCAGCCCGGGCAGCAAGGAGTCCCCTCGGTGCAGCCCCCAGCCCCCAGCAGAGCTCCTGGCCCAGAGGAGATGCTGCTGCTGCTGTGTATGCTGGGGGGGGGGGGCAGTGCTTACAGGAGCAGCAGCCTGGGTCCCCTTGGCTCGGACCAGGGTCTTCAGGCCGCCGCTGCGGGTCTTGTTCTTCCCTGCACCGGGGTCTTCGAACTTGCTGGGAGTGTAAAACTCCCCCCCAACCTGGATGCACTTCTTGGAGCCCCCTGGGAGGAGAGGCTGACTGGCCCCTGCTCAGTGGCACTGCAGCCCCAGGCCAGCCCCGGCGGGCCACAGAGGATGCGCACTCCACAGCTTGCTCTTCCGTCTCCCCCACCCCCCACAGTCAGGCCTGGGGCCAGGGTCCTGGGCACAGAAGGGATTCTCTGCTGGGGGACTATACTGGGTGAAGCGTGTCCCCCAAATTCACGTCCACCTGGAATCTCAGAATGGGACCTTATTTGGAAGTAGGGTCTTTGTAGATGTAATTAGTTAAGATGGCTCATACTGGATCCTAAGTCCAATGACTGGTGTCCTTATGAGAAGAGGACACAGAGAGACATAGCAAGGAGGCCCTGTGACAGTGGAGGCAGAGGCTGGATGATGCCACTAGAAGCCAGGGAACAAGGGTCGTCGGCAGCCACCAGGAGCTGGGGAGGCCAGGAGATTCTGCCCTACAGCCTCCCAAGGGAGCACGGGCCTGCCAACACCTTGATTTTGGAATTTCTGTTGTGATAAGCTGCCCAGTTTGTGGCAATTTGTTATAACAGCCGTAGGAGACTCCTGCCGGAGTCCTTGGGCCCATCCCTGGTGGGTGAGACCAGGGCCCGTGTCAGCTCCCAGCGGCTGGCAGGTCCTGGCTGTCCCCCAACTGGTGCCCAGCACCGAGGGTGGAGGAAGGAGGTGGCACAGCGGAGGGGGAAAAGAAGTCTGGGTGGCCGGGGCGGGTGCTGCAGGCTGTCCTGCTTGGAGAGCGGGCGCGCAGAGGGTCCGTCAGTACAGGCCTGTCAGCAGACCTCAGACCCTGTGAGCGAGGACTTTCTAAGGACGTGAGCCAAGACTCCACAGGGGCCCATCCGCGTGGATGGAGGTGATCTAGGATGTGGCCCCGGACCGCCGACCTCGCAGAAGGTCCAGGGCCTGCATGTCCAAGCGTCCCCCAACCCCTCAGGGAGCCCTCAGTGCCTCCCCCGCCCCTCCAGAGCCAGCAGAACCACTGGGGGGGACGCTGGCTGCCCCGTCCATGGTCCTGTCTGCCCTGGGGCCACCAGGGAGCTAATGGGGGAGGTGGACCCCGGGCAGCCCCTCCCCAGTACCGTCTACCTGACTCAAACACTTGCTGGATGAGGATCCCCTCCACGGCCCCGCGGGCTCCAGGGACATCCCCAGAGGACACGGCCATGGCTCTCTGGACCGAAGTGGACATGGTCTGAATTCCTGGGGGAGGAGCGCCAGATGGGGGGGGTCACCAATCAGGAAGATGGCCCCTGAGCACTCCTCCACGGGGACAGTGGGGGCAAGGTGCCTGGGCGGTGGAATCCTTCTCTCCTTCCTCCCAGGGCAGGCCTGGAGGGGGCCCAGCCCTTCCACACCCAGACAGACAGACAGCCCATGTGTAAGTGGAGAGACAGGCCGTATGTGTGTGTATGTGTGTGTGTGGTGTATGGTATAGAGTGAGGGTGGTGTGTGTCTATGTGTGTGTGGTATGTGGCATGTGGCATGTGTGTCTGTGGTGCGTGTATCGTACATGTGGTGTGTGGTATGTGTGTATGTAGGGTGGTATGTGGTGTGTGTGTCTGTGGTGTGTGGTGTGTATGTATATGGGGGGTATGTGGTGTGTGTGTCTGTGGTACACGTGGTGTGTGGTGTGTGTGTATGTGGGGGTGGTATGTGGTGTGTGTGTCTGTAGTGTGTGGTGTGTGTGTATGTGGGGGTGGTATGTGGTGTATGTGGTGTGTGTGTGGCGTGTGGTGTGCGAGCCGACTGAACACAGTGGACAGGAATGAACAGGGACCCGGGATGTGGCCCTGGGTTGTGCTGGGAGGGAGGCAGAGTTCCAGGGCCGGCCCTTAGGTCAGCGCCAGGTGACCAGAGGAGTCTCTGGGGTCCCGTGTCCTGGGGCAGGGAGGGGACAGAAAAGGGGCCAGGCTGCGTCTAGCTGAGGGACAAGGAGGATTCTCTGGAGGAAGCAGAGCCTGAGCTGGCCCTGAAGGGCGGGCACAGGTGGGGAGACCCCTCCTTCCCGGTGTGGCTGTGCAGCGAGGCTCTGGGGTGAGACGCCAGGCCAGCATGGTCCCAGCTCCCAGGATGGCCCCCTCGGGCCCCTGACCCCTTGACCGGGGGGCCTGGCTCACCGTTGCCGAGCGGGAGGCGCTGCGGCTCCACGTTGCTCTCTGGCTTCTTGGGGGGCTTGGCCTTCCCTTGGGAGCCTGCAGGGGGAGCTGCGGCAGCCTGGCCCTCCTCTCCCGCTGGGGCCAATGTGGGCGGCCAGCAGGCAGGGGAGAGCACCAGTGTTGGGTCTCCTGACCCGGGAGTCCCCTCACTTTACCAGGCTCTGATGCCCCATCAGTAAAAAGGAAGTAACACCCCCCTGCTTACTTTACGAGGCCCTGGGGCAACAAGGGACTGCCCTACTCCATTAGTGTGTCCATCTAAGTACCCAGAGGGGACCTCTGCAGCACCCTGCCCCCAGGCTGGACCAGGCTGAGGAGGGGGTGGGACAGATGCTCCCAGAGCCCAGCAGCTGGGGAGGGGGTGTGGTCAGGGAGCATCAGGCTCCCCAGGGAGATCTGTGACCCCACCAGCTCCTCAAACTGGGTACCTGGGCTGGAGGTGCCCCTGGGGGACAGGGCTGCCGCTGGGGTGGCCCGTGGCTCCTCCAGAGCCTTCCTCTTGGTGGGGGGCCTGGGCAGCAGCACGGGGGCCTTGGGGCCAGCCGGGGGCTTCCTCCCCTTCCGGGGCTGGCTGAGGTCCACATCTGCAGGGCAAGAGCAGATCTGACGCCTGGGGCAAGGCGGGCGGGGCCTTGGCCCTTTGCCTCTCAGAACCCAAGACGGTCCTAGGTGATGTCCAGGGGCTCCCTAAACCCCAGCACCCCCACACCCCTTCCCTCCTACAGTCCCACTTCGGCTCAGCAGGTTGACTCCAGCGGCCCCAGGCCCTAGCCCCCAGCCCAGTGCCCCCCACCTTTGGGGAAGCTGTCTAGGATGGGCTGCAGCCGGGCATATCTCTCCAGATTGTAGTCCTTGAAGAGAACCCTCCAGAAGTCCAGGATGACAGCCGCGTCTTGGGTCAGGAGCCAGGAGAGGAGCGCATGGAAGGCCTGTGGGCAGCCCTCCCTCTCCTTCAGACTCAGCGTCTCCTGAAGCAAGAATGGGGAGTAGGGGGGCTGCCTCCTGCTTCCCAGGTACCCCACTTCCCGCTCCACTATGGGACTAGAGGACGGATGCCAACCCAGAAGAGGCTGCTGGAGACCTGGTCACCCATGTCCATCCCTTTGGCTTGGGGGGGGCGTGGGGATGGCATGGGGGTGTTGGGGTGAGGGGGGCACCTGAAAGTCATCTTAGGAGATCATGCCGTGGCTTGGACGAAGCCTTGGGAAGGGCTGGGAGGGGGCGTTGGGGATCTGGGTTGGGGCGACACCTGGGGTTGTCCTCGGACCATCCCCCCTGCTCGTGGGCGGGGCATGGGGACGGCGTAGGGGCGTCAGGGGCGGGGAGGGGCGTTGGGGGCGGAGAGTCTGGAGGGGCGGGGCGGGGAGGGTCCACCTGGAGCTACTCTTCCGGGACGCTGGCTCGCGGGCACCGGCTTGGGGGAGCCTCGGGCTCGTTGGGGTCTGGATTGGGGCCCACCTGGAACTTGTCCTCGGGGACCACGTCGTGGTCGGCCAGCGCGTGCAGCAGCGGGAAGGCGCTGTCCACGGCCACGGCGATCTCGGTGCGGTGCAGCCTCAGGAGGCGGCGCAGCGCCGTGTCCCCGCCGGCCCGGGCCTCGCCGGCCATCGCGGGTTCGGGGGCGCGGGGCTTCGGACCCCCCTCTCCCCGCCTGGGGTCCCGCGGCCTCGGAGTGCCGGTGGACTTGTGGGGTGTCTGGGCCGTGTCTGCCTCCTGGTCCCCGCGCTCCCCCTGCCCCGCCGGCCACCTGGGCGGGCACCTCCGCGGGCTGAGCAGCCGGCCGGGTCGCTGTTATACCAGACTCCCCGCGGAAAGAGCAAAGGCCGCGCTGCCCCAGAGCCAATCAGGGCCGGGGAAGCGTCCAGAGGGGCAGGAACGGAAACTTCCCTGTAACTGAGTATAGAGAAGGTCCCATCCACCGCCAGCCCCCATTCCGCACCTGCCAGCAGGCTGTCGGCTTTTCTTTCTTTTGTAAACGAAGCTTCTGGACCAGGCCCTGACCCTTCAGTGAGAGGGCTGGGTCGCCTCTCAGTTCCCAAAGTGTGGTCCCGGCCTGCATCCCACAGGGCCCTGTTGAAACAGGGGAAAGCCAGGACAGGTGCCCTTAGCCTCACCGAGGCCCAAGTCCTGGGCACCAGAGGGGCTGACGAGGTGCTCCAGCACCTCGCTGAGGCCGGGATGAGAAGCCTCCGTGGGGCTGGGTTTGGGCAGGGTCCCAGGTGGGGAGTGGGCACGGCCCCTGCTCAGGTTCCCAGGCCTGGGGCTGTAGGTGAGGTCAGATGGAGGGGCGCTCATCTGATGGCGGATACCAGCTATGGCTAGTGTGTGTCAGTGGGGACAGCCTGGGCGTTGCCTGGAGGCTGTGTGAGGCCGGGCAAGTCACTTTCCTTCTCTGAGCCTCAGTCCCCTCATCTTTAAAATGAGCACATTCCCTGGGGGAGGGGGACCCCAGCTGCAACCTACTCTCTACTTCCTCCAGGTGTGTTAGAAAGTAAAGCTTCGAGAAGGCAGCTGATGCCATGGTCGGATGCCCCTGACTGTGAGCCACCGGAGCTCCTGTCCCTGTCCGGCTTAAAACTCCAGGGAGGGGCACCCCGGGAGCCTTCCTAGGGCCTGTGACAGAGGCTGGGAGATGGCCTAGCTTGGAAGGACAGAAGCGTCCAGGGGAAGTGGAGAAGGCTTCCTGGAACGGGTTGCAGCAGGGGTTCCCAGGTCCACGCAGTGGGAACAGCATCCTGAGCTGTGCATGGGCGGGTGCAGAGGACCCAGGCCTCCACGAATGCTGAGCCCGTGGTCCTGCAAGGCATGGGGGGCAGACGGGCAAAGTACTTCCCGGCAGTGGGAAGGCTGGTCCATGCGGTCAGACAGGAAATGATCTAGTCAGGCTTGTGTTAGGGAGAAAAACTGAGTGCCCGTGGATGGGTCTGGAGGATGAGGAAGCCTGGGGTCAGGGGAAGCACTGGGCTGCGACCGGCCACACGGAGCAGGGAAGGGAGGCCGGACTGGACCCATGACCAATTCAATGGGGGTGTTGCCAAGAGTTCTCGTGTGTGTAGGCTGTCATGTTTTATACTGAGGTGAGGGTTCAGGGTGGGGAGCTGTGGGGTCCCCCTGACAAGGGAGCCCTGTCTTGGTTTCTCCCCCGCCTCCAGACCCAGGTTCCCTGAGAGTTCCGTTCTGGACACCCTGAGATTGCTCCGGGGGGTGTTCGGAGCAAGCCTGGGGAGAGGGGTGGCAGAGCTCTGTCAGCCTGGGGTCAGGCACAGGGGGAAGGGGTGGAGATCGTGGGAGTCATCATCTCAGAGAACCGGGACCTCTGTATGGAGCTCTCAGGCCATGCAGAGTCAGAAAAGCCTGGCTTTCCCATAGAATGTTCTGGGGACTCCAACCTGGGAGTAGGGCCCTTGTGCTGCCTGCCTCTGGGGCTCCAAGCCCACTGGCTGCAGAGCTGTGGGTGGCGGCCCATAGATGTGGGCCTTGGGGGCAGTTCTAGCCTGTCCTGCACTGTGCCTCCTGCAGACACCCAGCGGGAACCCTCCCTCCAGGCCTTGTCAACCCCAGGATGGGGCTGCCACTCAGAGGAGCATCCTCTCCCCAGCCCAGGCTGGGCAGCTGCCTACCCTACCAGCCTGTCCTGCTCTCTCCAGCAAGTGGGTATCTACTGTAAAACTATGAAAGAAAGCGTAAACCAAAGTCACTCCTAAACCCTGCGCCCAGCAGGATTCCAGCCGTTCAGGAGCGCCTCCAATCTCATTACTCGTGTGGCCTGGCGTCTCAAGAAAGCAATGCCACTTCATGACACATCAAATGTTACCTACTGGGCCAACAGTCTCCGAAATTCCTACACAAAGGCACCCAAGGGTTCCAGGGAACTGTGCTTGTGGTTTTAGGGGGTGACCAGTGAACGTCCCTCTCGGTCAGCTCAGCATCCCTCTCCCTCAAGCCTTGCCACCCTCCAACGTCACTCTGCACTCGGTGGGTTTTCTCCCCTGGGTGGCTGAGTGGTCATCAGGGGACACTTTAGCCACAAGACAACTGTTCAAGGGGAATTAGAAACCACCAAGAAGATCCAAGTCTTGCCTTCACCTTTTCAAAGCCACGAAATCCTTGTAGGTGTACCTGTGTCATCGGCCAGTCTTAACTGCTGCAAGCGTCACCTAGCATCTTGCCAGGAGGTTAGCAAACAGGATCCTGTAGAATTTTGGACTTTCCACCACGCTGGGGGTTTCCATGGCAGCCCCTCACTGCAGGTGCCCTTGGGCGGCGGGGATGTGTGGAGGCGGCCTTTGGAGAGCCATGGCCAACAAGGGGCCATCCCTGGCTTCAGCTGGGTCACTGCCTTCCTGGGGTTGAGCCTCAGTTTCTCTTCGAGTCCTGCCACTTGGTCAGTCATCTCTGCGCCTCTGTCCTCACCTGCAAGGGAGCGAGCACCGTAGCTCTTCCTCTGGCACCGTTATTTCATGTATCAGACACGGCTGGCCCCACTGCACACCAGGTCTTGTTCTGAGTACTTTGCAATTGCACTCCCTTAATCTCAGAACTACCCTGTTAGGCCAGTGTAATTATTATTATATTCTACAGATAAGGAGACTGAGCACAGAGAGGTTAAGGAACTTGGCCAAAGTCGCACAGCTAGCAAACGGCCTTGGATGGATTGTGTCGGGTCCATGCTCTCAGCACACAGGGCACTCCCCAGGTGCCCAGGTCATGTTAGTGTCTCAGCTTGCAAAGAGGAGGAAGCACTTCCCGTGCGACATGCCCAGAGGTCAGGGAAGAGTGAGGTCCCAGTGGCAGGGCGGGGACTGGATGGGGCCTGCTCCTTGGCTGATTGGCCTTGGCCCCCTCAAAGAAGCCTGGACACCGTGATCTTCTCCCCTTGCCCCAGATGGAGGCTTCATTCTGTGTGGCTCCCCCAAAAGGGCTGGGATCCCAGAGGTCAGGAGTCCTGAGTCACAATGACCTCAGGGGACTCAGAACGCCAGCCCAAGCCACAGCTCGAGGATTTCCCAAGAGGTGGGGCATCAGAGGAGTTTCGGTCTCCTGGTGACACTTTACCAGATTTACCAGAACTATACCACCCTCTCGGCCACCAGCTAGCTCTGTGACCCTCTCTGGGCCTGTTTCCCCATGAAAGCTGCTCAACATCACTAATCCTTAGAGAAATGCAAATTGAAACCAAATGAGATACCACTTCACACCCACTAGGATGCTATTATCAAAATACAGAAAATAACAAGTGCTGGTGAAGATGTGGAGAGATCAGAACCCACATACATTGATGGCAGGAATGTAAAATGGTGCAGCCACTGCAGAAAAATGGTGGTTCCTCAATAAGTTAAACATAGAATTACCATTTGACCCAGCAACTCCACTCCTGGGTATACACCCAGAAGAATTGAAAACAGATGTTCAAACAAAAACTTGTATATGAATGTTCATAAAGCATTATTCACAACAGCCAAAGGGTGGAAATAATAACCCAAATGTCCATCTACAGAAGAATGGATACATCCAATGTATCCATTCCATAAGATAGAATAGTATTCAGCTATAGAAAGGAATGAAGTACTGATATATGCTACAGTGTGGATGAACCTCAAAAGCATTGTGCTAAGTGAAATAAGCCAGACATAAAAGGCCACATATTGTATGATTCCATTTATATGAAATACCCAGAACAGGCAGATCCATAGAAACAGAAAGCAGACTAGTGGTTTCCAGGGGCTGGGGGAGGGGAAAGTAGGGGTGACAGCTTAATGAGTATGGAGTTTCCATTTGGGGTGATGAAAAAGTTCTGGAAATAGTGGTGATGGCTGCACAAAACTGTGATGTTTTAATCACTATTGAACTTTGAATTTTCAAATGGTTAAAATGGTAGATTTTATGTGTATTTTACCACAATAAAAATTAATTCTAAACGTCAGTTGGGCATATTTGTGTGGATCTATTTCTGGCTTCTCTACTCTGTTCCATTGATCTATGTATCTATGCATCCACCGGTACCACACAGTCTTGACTACGTAACTATATAATAAATCTTGAAACACAGTAGACCAATTCCTCCCATTTTATTCTTCTTTTTCAAAATTGTTTTAGCTGTTCTAGTTCCTTTGATTTTCCGTATACATTTTAAAATAATCTTGTCTCTATGAGCAATCTTTCTAGGATTCTGATAGCAATTACATTAAATCTATATGTCAATTTGGGGAAAATAGATCTCTTTGTTATGTTGAGTCTTGCAATCCATGAACATGGTGCATTTCTCCATTTATTTAGAGCTTCACTGATTTCTCTCATCAATGTTTTGTAGTCTTCAGCATACCAGTCCTATACATGTTTGTTAGACTTACACACAAGTATTTAATTTTTTGAGTGAGTATAAATAGCTTTGTGATTATAATTTTGTTGTCCACACATCCATTGTTAATATATAGGAATATAAATGAGTTTTTGCATCTTCATCTTGTATCCTGCAAGCTTGCTGAGCTCATGTTATTAGTTCTAGGAGTGTTTTTGTTTTGTTTTGTTATAGAATCTTTGGGGTTTTCTACAAAGATAATCAAGTCGTCTGTAAATAGGAACAGTTTGATTTCTTCCTTTGCAATCTATATACCTTTTATTTTATTTTCTTGCCTTATTGCACTGGATAGAACCTCCAGCACTGTGTTGAATAAGAGTAATGAGAGTGGACACCCTTGCCTTGTTCCTGGTCTTGAGGGAAAGTGTCTGGCCTTTCACGTTAAGTATAATGTTAGCTGTC